TGGACTTTATAAATTGTCCACTAGGGCACAAAACACTCGGATGAAACAAACTATGTGCCTAGATGCGAGTGGAGGTTTGACTTGCAATAGGTACAACTACACTAAACTACGATACGAGTTGTGAGTTGTGGATGGACTTGCAAGTTGCAACTGGGACAACTACACAAAACTACAATACGAGTTGCGAGTCGAAAATGGACTTGCGATTGGGACGAAACAAACTACAAGCCTAGTTGCAAGTCAGGAGTGGACTCGCAACTGGGACAACTACACAAAATTACGATACCATTTGCGATTCGAGGATGAACTTGCAAGTGAGACAATAATAAACTACGAGCCCAGTTGCGAGTCGAGCGTGTATTTGCAACTGGAATGGAAAACAAACCCATGCTCGGTTGCTAGTCGGGGGTGTACTTGCAAATTGGACAAGTATAAGATCGTTTGCGAGTCAAGGATGGACTCTACGAATTCTCCACCAGGCCACAAAAACAAATAGCAAAGACAAACAAAAGAGAAACGGGCCACGTCTAAAATAACAACATATATGGGCCAAGGTGACAAGTAACGCGGGAACAAGCCGACAGAAAAAAAAAACAAGACAAAGAGGACACGTGTAAAAAAACAAGTTGACACAGGGCACACATGATCAAGTTCGTGCAAACACTAAAGCAAACAAATCAGACGGTTATAGACTTAGATAAGACATCACGCATATGAGATTTAGCAAATTCAAAAGAAGAAAAATAGTTACGCTCTTCTCTAGCTGAAACAAGGAATACAAAGACATGTGGCCTCTGCAAAAAATCTAATGTCAAAAAAGTACACAAAACATATAAACGGCCCACTAAAAAAGTTATACTGGACCTCATTGCTTTACGAGGAACGAACAGAAAACACAACACAATGACAACGAGCACGACTCAAAAACACATATATCTAACGGTATATGAGTTAAATAAGATATTATTTACTCTCATCTAAATGAGAATAAGCAAAACTGATCTGAAACAAGACCCCAAATCACGCCGTGAAAATGTCCCAACAAAAGACGCACGCACAAGCAGACTGATTAGTTGACACTAGACGCACAACGCCACATGGGCCATGCATGACAAAACAACCAACGGTCAAGGTTTGCACGACATTTAAAGCTAATAGATGGCATAGTGGAAAAATCATGAATTTAAAACAATAAAATAAGGAAAAGGGGAAAAAGAAAAACGAAAGAAATGGAAAAGGAAAAAATATGAATCAAAGAAAAATGCGAGCGGAAAATCACTTACTTTCACTGCTCCCTTCTCATATCCAATCCACTCGTCGCGTGAAGGACTGTATGAAAAAAAAAGAGCAACCATAGGAACCTTTCCTAAATACGTACTCACTCTGATGAGCACCGCCTGCTCAGCTGTCACATCCGTTCTCTCTTACTATTCTCTATGTACAACTGAGACAACCAGAAAAAAACCCACAAACATCAAGCGACCTAGAATGGCCCGTGTTCGCAAAAAAATGGCCCGCCCCATCTCGTGTGGAAGTGGGCACAGGCCCACGTGCGCGTCAACGCGCTAGCGCGGGAGGGACGATCACCTGGTGTGAGTTTCAAAGACAAACAAGATCTGACAGCCCTGAACTTAGATGTGACATCCTTAAAAATCATCCAGATGTGAGTTAGCAATTCTGTTTTAAAAAATAAAAAAATAAAAAAAGATATGGAAAAAGAAAAGACAATCTAGATGGCAATGAGCAAATCTAGAAAAATGAAAATAGAGATATTGAAGATAAAAGTAAAAAAAGAAAAACAAGATAAATCCGAATTTTTGTAAAACAATGAAAAAAGAAAAGGAAAAAAATAGAAAAGAAAGGGAAACAAATAAATTGAAAACTGAAAAACAGATCATCAAAAAAGCAAAGAGAAAAAAAATGGTCATAAACTTTTAGCCATAAACTGGGACATGAGAGGCGTATAAAAAGGCTGCACTCTTAAGTAAATGCCGTGCCACATCTACACTATTTTGTGAGAAGATGCCACATCTACACATCGTTGCAAAAGGAACAGCCTCCCAACAAAAACAGCCACACGAACAGACAAAATCAGCAGGTATCCACACCATTGTGCATGCCGGTGTAACAATCAGAGAGAGAAAATAAGACAGCCCATGTAATAAATAGAAGCCCATCTTTGTGAACAAGAAAACAGGCCGACAGGGGACAGCGAGACGAGGGGAGAAAGCACGTGATCAACCTCTGCGCGATTTTAAAGAAAACAAATCCAACGATTGTAGATTTAGATGTGAGATAACTAAATTTCATCTAGATGTGACTTAGCAAATCCGTTTTAGAAAAGGAGGATTACTCCTATCCAGTAGACGTCCGATGATACGACGGACCATGAGTTTTGATTGTTGAATAAACCAAATGTCAGGGGCAAATTACCAACGTGTATTGCCCTTATGTTCCTTTTCGTTTCATGTATACTCTTGCAATGAAGAATATATACTTGTGTTTCATAATCAATGTCGTCTGTCGATTCACAAGCAAGCCAATATCGATACAAGCAAAACATTGGAAACACGTGTACTATTGCAATGAAGAACCAATGATGATTAGAACTCACAAGCAAATTACCAACTTGTATCACCCTTATATTCCTTGGACGCGGCATGTCCGTCTTCCTTGGACATGGGAGGTCCGACGAGCCGGTGACCACGCCAAGTTGCGCTTCGAGATCGGGAACCAAAAGGAGGTGAGATCCACAAAGCGCACGCTCGACCATCACAACCACGAGCACGAGTTCCTGTACTTCTAGTACTTTGCCGGAAAGACGATTGACAACGACCGCCTTGTCGTTCGCTGCCACGTCCGGTGATCAAGGCCGAGACGCTGACCATGCTCCCTATATAGTAGACGTCGGATGATGCGACGAACATGAGTTCTGATTGTTTACGCCAACATTTTAAAGATCCAACGACCGATCTTCTTTCTTCTACCTCCACCTTTCTTTCTCCTCCAACCGTTCTTCCTTCTACAAAATTGAGTTACACAGATTGTAAATTGAGTCAACTTACGTATAGCTATTGTGCGGTGTGCTTCTATGGCGGCCTGTCCGGGCTAGGACACCGGAGAAGACTGCGCCGACACAAAGCCCTGGATGGTGGCGAGTTTGATCTCAGGTCCGTACTTGGCTTACACCAGTGTGAAAATAATTGTCTTAGGTTTTTGTTAGGGGTCTTCGTGTTTGGTTTGGGATGAAACCGTGGCGACGTTTTCCTAGTTTATGACTAATGCCCGTGGCACAGAACGCACCACGACTGGCCTTATCGTTACCATCTCAATAGGCATGCACATCCTGGCCACAAGCATCACGATCAACCAAATTTCAACCAAGAACGTAACAACTCGTATTCACCAGTACCATCGATCAGCCGATACACCCAGGCTAGCTAGCTAGCTTTTTGCCCGTGGCACCCAACGCGCCACTACTGGCCTTATCTTTACCATCTCAATAGGCATGCACATCCTGGCCACAATCATCGCAATCCAACCAAAATTTCAACCAAGAAGTACCGACGATCACGATGGATAACCAGCCAAAATACAATGATCTCGACTTGTAGTAGGCACATCAGGATCGAAGTACCTAACACATTCTGTTTTGTCTATTCATGAAAGCAAACTGATCTCGACTTGTAGTACGCACATCAAGATCGAAGTACCTAACACATTCTGTTTTGTCTGTTCATGAAGAGTTAATTGCATAAAACCAGCACATTTCGAGCTTCATCTACAGAAAACCACCTGGTCCTTAATCATTTGCAAAACTTACCGTGCATTTAGTAATTTTTTTGCAAAAAACACTAATCAGGTGATTTAGCCCGTTTAACCACTTTCTAACAAGTGGGGCCGGAATGTAAGGAGCTGATTTGGCAACAAATTGACGTATACCTCACTGGATCTTAAAAGAGAAAGCAATCAAGCCCCTCCCCCTCCCCCACGGAGGGCATCTCCTTCCTCGCGTGCAGCAACAGGGGGGACACACCGGCCGGCGAGACGCGTGACAGCGCAGGAGATGTCCCCGCAAGCGCCGACCGTCTTTGCGAGCGTGAGGGCCAGCAGCACACTGTCGCCGTGAGCCTCCGCACGCTCTCGAGCCGCGCCACCTGGTCATCTAGCGCACGCCACATCGTCGATCCAGGGTGTGGCGGCCATCGGAGCTCGGTCTGGGCGGTGGTGAGCTCCTGGATCCACGAAGAGGAGGCGACAGGGTTGTGGCGCACCTCTTTGCTCCCCTGGAGCCGGTAGCACGCTCCTGGGTGTCGAACGGCCTAGGCGTCCTCGAGAGATGGCAGAGGCGCGGCCACGGCAGGGCCTGGGCGCGCCGCCGGCTTTCAAGGCCCCGAGCAGAAGCCGCACTTGCGCTGCTTCCGGCAAATGGCATGGCTGGTGGAGCGAGCGCGCGGCGGAGAACGGCCCCGCGGCCGCGAGTATGGAGGCGCTCCTCCCGCCACTTCTTTGTCGCCGCGAGTAAGAAGACGGGCGCGGCGGCGCTGACAATGGTCTCCGGCGATAGGAGGGGTGTGTCTGACAGCGGAGGAGCGGCGCCGACCGGACAGCAGCGCGGCGGCGGTCAAGGGCTTTGGGGTATTTGGACTGCTCGAGGTTATCCGCAAGGGGAGGGCCTTATTGCGTTTTTCTTTTAGATGTAGGTGTGTGTGTTTTAATATGTTGCCAAATCAGCTTCTTACATTCTGGTCTCACTTGCCAGAAAGTGATTAAACGGGGTAAATCACTTGATCAGTGCTTTTTACAAAAGGTTTACTGAATATGCGGTGATTTTTGCAAATGATTAGAGACCAGGTGTTTATCTGGAGAAGAAGCCCAAAATATGATGGTTTTATGCAATTAACTCATTCATGAAAGCAAATTGATCTCGACTTGTAGTACACACATCAAGATCGTACTGTTAATTCGTCTGATACCTCTCGCACATGCATGCAGCTCTGCTAGATCACTTGCGTCGTCGTCGTCTCCATCAGCGGCGGGATGCTCTGCTGGTTTCTGAAGTAGTTCGTCGGATCTACGGCGGCCTTCACCGCCGCTAGCCTTCGGTAGTTGCCCACGAAGTACCGCTCGCCCCAGACCTTTCCGCTCTCGAAGGTGCCGTCGTCGTCGTCGTTCTGGCCGATGTCCAGGTCGCGGAAGTTCACGTACGCCCGCCTCGGATTCTTGCACACGTGCTGCCCCATGAAGTCGTATAAGCCGTCGATCCAGCTCTTGGCCGCAGCGCCGCCGTCACCCTGCTGCTGCCAGGATGCGATGTACTGGATGACGTACAGCACGCCGTTCCGGTGCGGGTATGGCGTGGCGGCGGCAGGGACGCTATCCATGAACCCGCCGTGGGGCTCCAGGATGATGTCCCCCGCGCCGTCCATGGCGAACCAGCGGGAGAAGATGTCCTTCCACACGGCCTTTGGGATGGCGCGCAGGACGTAGTCGGACTTGGCCTTGGTGAAGGCGCTCGTCCAGACGGTCCTGTCCAGGAGCACTTCCTCCAGCGTGCCATTGCTGGCGAAGCTGAGGAAGGGCGTGGCCGCGGACTGCAGCCAGGTCATCTGCTGGCAGTCGGCGCTCGTCATGCCCAGCTTCGGGAACTGCTTGTCCATCGTCGCCACCAGCGCGCCGCACGCGCCGAGGTAAACGGCCTGGAACAGAGCCTGCTGCCCTTGCTTTACGATCACCCTTATGGTGAGGTCGCTGGGGAGCGACGGTGCGACGTGCTGCCATCTGGTGAGGATTTCCAGGGCGCCCTGGTCGACCGTCTTCCCGATGTTGAACACAGTCACCGTCGGCGGGACCTGCACGAGCTGGACCTTCCACGAGAGCACGATGCCGAAGCTCCCTCCGCCGCCGCCGCGGATGGCCCAGAAAAGGTCCTCCCCCATGCCGGCCCTGTCTAGGAGGTCCCCGTCGGCGTTGACCAGCCTGGCGTCGACGATCTTGTCGACGGCGAGGCCATGCTTGCGCGTCATCATTCCGATGCCCCCGCCGCTGAAGTGGCCGCCCACGCCGACGGTCGGGCACTCGCCGGCCGGGAACGCGACCCGGGAGTTGTTCCTCGCGATGGCGTAGTACAGCTCCCCGATGGTGGCGCCGGAGTCGACCCAGGCCGTGGACTCGAGCCAGTCGACGCGCACGGCCCGGAGGCTGGCGCCGAGGTCGACCACCGCGAACACCTCGGACGGCCGCGTCGAGCGGTACGACAGGCCCTCGTAGTCGTGCCCGCCGCTGCGCACACGGAGGCGCACGCCCTGCCTGCGGCCGCACAGCACAGCGGCCTGGACGTGGGAGGCGTCGCCGGGCGTCACGATGCAGAGCGGCGGCCTCGCCGTGGCGGTGGTGAAGAACTTGGGGTTCTTGATGGAGGAGAACAGCACGTCAGTGAAGTTGCTGGAGCTCTGCGTGTACACCAGCTCGCTGGGTATCTTCTCCCGTAGGCATTGGAGGAAGCCATGGCCACCGGGGGAAGCTAGGGAAGCAACAGACGTCAGGTGGCAAGAGAAGAAGCTCACGGAAAACGCGAGTGCTAAGCCTCTGAGCATTGTAAAGTTGAATGATGTGGAGCTCCTCGATCAATCCTCTGAGCGAGAGTGTTGTACTACTTCAATTATTACTGCTCCCTCTGTTCCACGTGAAACACGAGATCGTGCACGTATTGCATCAAGGGACATCGTTGATGCGTTTATGTACGAGTAAGTCATGAGTGGGAACTATCTTTTTTTTTTAACGCGCAAGCGCTCATATAAACGCGCATACACTCACCCTTATGAACGCACACACGCACACCCTACCCCTATGAACACTTTCGAGAGACTGAGCCGGCATATCATTTTGAGATTTTACGAAGTTACTGTAGGCGACTCGTAGTCGACGGGAACGTCTCCTCCCACTGAAAGCGTATCGCCCAAATTCCTGAAATAAATCCAGGATAAATGCGAGCACCAGAATTTGAACCCTGGTGGGTTGGGATACCACTGTCCACCTAACCATCTCAACCAAAGATTGGTTCGCATGAGTGAGAACTATCTAGATAGTGATTTTTCTGCACTGAGATGTGTTCCGTCGCTATTGTGAGATCCGTGCCACCCATGTTTTCTAAAAGAATATTGATAAATTCTGTGGTGTTTCAAATTATTGTAAGATATTTTGTTACCTTTTCCCGTTATTTCAAAGAGTATCATGATGTTTCATTGTGTACCAGCGAATTCATTTGGCAACAAGTGCACTTTTTTGCTGGTAGACAACAAAACATTAAACTTTTAAATGAGAAAAAAAAAGACCCAATAAAACATTATGTAATATATCGTGACCACATATATTTTGTCTCAGACTAGAAATGTGGCATGAATGCCAAACCGGTGAAACAATGTGGATGCATGCATGGAATATTTTGTGCATGGTAGAACGTCATTTCTAGAACTATCTATCATATGCACAAGAATATGAGGACTAGAAGATATTGAACCCGATCTTTCTTCCATGTAACAACTTTATAAACTAAATGATACCCCGCACGTTGTTGTGAGAATATTTTATAACATATTTCAATGTAATTTGTTGTATGAAACATGAATATGAGAAGTAATAATATAAAAAACTAAAACTAAAACTACATATAATTTATTATGTTTGATTTCTATATAGTTGTAAAATGTTTATTAAATATATATAGCATAATAAATTGAAAAACCTCATGTATGTTTGCATGTTAAGATGGGTCTTTTTCCATGCATGCCATGATGAAGTGGCATGCTTGCATCTTGAGAGAGATATGATAGTGGGTGTGAGCCTTTTTCTCATGCATATTATGCGATGATGTGGCATCTTTACACGTTGAGAGAAATAGTTAGTGGGAGCTAGCTATTTAGATACAGAAGATTTACTAGAAGGCACCATAGAGATAAAAAATCTCATGGAATTTTTATCTTTTTTCAGGCAAATGGAGTTTTTATCTTGTTTGTCTATTAGATCGATTGTGAGGATCTAATAGATGGGCTTGATGTTAAATTTGTTCTTTGTAGTGCCTAGGTTTGTTAATTATGAGCCTACACTTTTAGGGCTATTATTGGGTTCAAAATTTGAAAATCTTGGTCAAAACGTCACAAGGCCTTCTCGATCTCTAGCCACTCTCGTTGGAACCACAAAAGCATGACACCAGCGATGAATGCAAACTTGATGGCCCCTTTTACGTCCGAGGAGGTTTAAAAAGCTCTCTTTCAAATGTACCCAACGAAGGCTCCTAGCCCGGGCGGGCTGCTCACTTCTTCCAACAACACTGGGAGCTATGTGGTGCTGAGTCACTGATGTGGTTTTTCGCATTATTCAAGGCGAGGAGAGCCCTGAGGTAATTAATGAGAAAATCTTAGTATTGATTCCAAAGGTAAAAGACTCGACATAGTTATCTCAATTCCGGCCCATAAGTCTGTGCAACGTCTTATATAAGATTGCTTCCAAGGTTTTATCTAACAGACTAAAGTAGATCTTACCTAACATTATTTCTGAGGAACAGTTAGTGTTTGTCCCAGGTAGACTGATTACAGACAACAACATCACTACATATGAATGTCTGCATTTCATGAAGAGGAACAAGACCCAAAAATAATTTTTGTGCAGTGAAACTAGACATGATGAAAGCATATGACTTTGTTGAATGGGAATATCTGGAGGCTATAATGGTCAAACTGGGATATGCACCATCATGGGTGGCATTAATCATGAGGATGGTTAGTTCTATCAATTTTTTTGCCCTTTTCAAATGTGGTAAACTAGAAGAGTTCAGATCATCCAGAGGAATCCGTCATGGAGACCCAATTTCTCCATACATGTTTCTGCTTGAAGCCCAGGTCATTACGTGCCTCTTAATAACTAATTATGAATCATCGCACCTCAATGGAATACGAGTGGCTCCATCGGCTTCGCCCGTAAGCCATTTCTCTTCGCGGATGATAGCCTGTTGTTTGTCAAAGCCAGTTCTTTTGGAGCAAATGAGGTGTCTTCTTTAATGGATAGTTACTGCAATGCTTTTAGTCAGAGAATAAACTTGTCCAAGTCTTCTGTTTTCTTCAGTAAGGGGTGCCCAAACACACTAAGTGATGAGGTGAAGAATGCTTTAAACATCATAGATGAGTCCCTCTCTGAAATGTATTTGGGTATGCCCTCTGATGTTGGTGGTAGAAAAAACAGTGCTTTCAAGTTTCTGAAAGACAGGGTATGGAGCAAGATCAAAGGATGGATGGAAAAACTCCTTTCTACAGGAGGAAAGCAGGTCTTAATTAAATTGGTTGAACAAGTTGTTCGGGTTTACTCGATGTCGTGTTTTAAACTCCCTCGTGGTCTATGTGAACACATCAATTCTTTGATTCGCAAATTTTGGGGGGCCAGCAAGGAAGGACAGAGAAAGCCTAGCTGGGTATCTTGGAGCACATTGACGATGCCCAAATTTTGTGGAGGGTTGGGTTTTCAAGACATTAAACTGTTTAATATGGCTATCCTAGCTAGGCAAGCCTCGAGGGTCTTAATGAAACCCGAATCACTTACTGCAAGAGTTCTTAGAGCAAAATACTATAGTTTTGGTGATTTTTTGAATGCTGGGGAGGAGGACAAAGTACAAGCATCTATGGGTTTCAGTTAAAAGATCCTGGGTACGGAGCCGGCAGGATAAGTGTGCAGAATTTCTTTTCAGTTCCGTGGCAGCGGGATTTGGTGGGCACACATGGTTGGTGCTAAACATAGGGGGGTTGTGGATCGTTGGATTACTTTACTGGACGGTGCAGATACTTTGGATCTCCACCCTTCGTGCTTTTACAGGGGTAGTAGATGTCAATCTATCGCTGCAATTGGCCGACCTAAATAAAAACAATGACAACAACATGATCAAAGACAGGGGAAGAGAAGCACCACGCAGGAGAACCCGCGGGACACCGTAACCTAGTCACGGTTGAAGTATTGCATTCCATCGTTGATTCAGTTGTGCACAAGTATCTCATGAGTGGGGACTATCTCGAGAGTGATTTTTCTACATTGAGATGTGCTTTGTCGTTATTTGAGATTCATGCACATTTTCAGTTTTTTTATAGATTTTGTATTGATTCAAACTTATTATATAATGTTTGTTAAAAAATACTAATGTGTATCATATATTTCATTTTGTACCAACAAATTTACTTTGAAACAAGCTTATTTTATTTTTATTTGTTAGTACTACACATCAAAGGTGTCTCTTATTCCGCACATGACGCGGTGCCATTCCACTAGCGCTTTCTGTCGCTAGTTTGGAGACGTAATACATCGACTCAATACAGTAGGTGCATGCGACCTTTTTTTATGATTTTTATCTGTTTTTTCATTATTCCACGTCCGTTTTCTTCGGGGTTTTAGGTTTTTCTACGGTTTTCTTCACATTTTCCTTTTTTTTCTTACAATGATTTTCTTTTGTTTCTTTCATTGGTTTTCTTCTCCATTTTTTTCTTTTCTTTTTTCTTTTTTAACACATCTCTAATTTTTCACACATTATAAATATTTTGTATACATCAAGCAATTAATTTACAAGTTTAATATTTTTTAAATACACCATTAGTCTTTTTTAAAATTTATTTTTTGATTCCTATTTCTTTTCATATACGTTGTATATTTTTGGTATACATATGAAAATATTATTTTATGCAAGTTCAACATTCTTTTCAAGTATATCTTTGATGCCTATTTTTTCATAAATATTGTTGATTTTTGTTATACATATAAAAAGTTTTTAGATATGTTTAGCATATTTCAAATACATCATTCAGTTTTTCCAAAATGTGTTTTGATGTATATTATTTTCATTCACATTGTACATTATCGGTATAGTATAAAAAAGAATTCATGCGCATTAAATAGGTCAGAAATACATGATTAAAAATAATCAAATAAATGGTTTGTGGATTGTTTCAAGTATGTGTTAAAATGTTTTCAAATACGCATTAAATCCTTTTGAATGATACATTGTATAATAATATTTTTTAAATATTAAAAACACATTTCGAAATGCATCAAATAATTAAAAATGTAACGTAAATTTTTCGAATGATCCGATACATTTTCTTTGAATTACACGAACCTTATTTTATATTGTATAATCTTCTCTATAATGTAAAGAACATCTTTAATGTCATACACATGTTTTAGTGCTATAAATATTCATTTGTAGTTACTCTCATAAAAGAAATACACCGTGTTAATATTTTTAAAATTGGTGTTTTTTTACCACTTTTATGTGAATATAAGTTTTGGTTTATATGTGTTTAGATTCTTTTTCAAAATATGTGCAAAAGAAAAAACTAACCTGCTTGTTCTTGTGAAAGGCGATCATAGCCACGCCAGCGTCATGCCACCAAAAGCTTGCACGCTACGAAGGTAATAGGTCTGTCACATGTAATAGAGGACTTTCTGGTTAGGCAACTTTCAAAAAGATTTTGATTTTTCTCTTTTTTTTGTGTTTCTTTAAGGTTTTTATGGGTTTTTTTACTTTGTATGTTTTTTACATGTTTTAATTCGCAACCATTATTCAAATTTAAAATATTATATTACTTTGCAAAAATTATTTTGAAATTTGGGGAAATTTATAATCCTTGAACTTTTTAAATTCATGATTTTTCTAGAACATTCTTGAGTAATTCTTAAAACTCAAGAATTTTTTAAAAATTGATACTAATATTTATAAATTTTAACATATTTTAAATTTTAGTTACATTTTTATTCCATGAATATTCTTTAAAAATAGCATAATACATAAAATTTGTGACCTTTTTATGAATTTACTAATGTTCATTAAGTTTCATTAATAATTATATAGAATTTTTTAAGAAAATTCAAATATTTGATCATTTTCTGATATTTAAAAAGACCCAAAAATAGCACATGGTCCTGGTAGCAAGCTTGGTGGTGAATTACTACAGCACTTGACCTAGAGAAAAAAATAGTTTGGACTGGGAGTAATTGGGATGGGCTGGCGAACCCAGACAACACGACACACGCGTCCTTTCTTTTCCGCGCATGTATCAGGGACCAACTAATTAAAGGTCACTACCTCCATTTTGATTTATTAGTCCCCCTTGTATTTTGGTTTATACTAGCAAAAGAGCCCGTGTGTTGCAACGGGACAGAAAAACACACACGCTCTTAACCCAATAACCACGACTCGAGACCCTGATAGGTAGGCGTTTTTTTCTTTTAAAATGGCATCACATCTGTGTTCCCGACAGTGGTCTCAATGCTCACACAACGAAAACGCATTTGAATGTGGTCAGTCCTAAGGCGTCTTTCTCTCTCTCACACACACACACACATACACACACATGCGCGCCCGCGCGCACGCGCACGCGCTCGCACGCACACAATCGCTCAGAATAAGTTGAGAAAAATGTTGTTTTTTTCCTGCGAGGTTTTCCAAAGTTGTGCATGTGTGGTTATCAATGTTTTTTTCCTCTCAATCTGGTTTTAATGTGTGTTTATTTGCAATTTGGATCGCCGCCGGTGCGAAAGAAAAATGGACCGTGCACTATTGATTATGTTTGCACCCAAATTAATAGTTTAGAAATATTTAATAGCTAAAAGTAACAGCGTATTTAGATTCTACACATTTTTCTAATCAAATTTCATATATAATATGTTAAAATCGAAGTTACGATTTAAAAGATATGGATAATTTTGTTTTAGATAAACTGTGGATTGATTAACCGAAAGGTCAGGGGGTTTTGTGTTAAAACGCAAAAAAACGATTCATGACTTAAATATGGACGGCGGGTTGATTACCTGAAATGTCAGGGGGTTTTCTGGGAAAATTAAAAAAACAGTTCGGTATGACTTAAAGATGGACTGCGGGTTGATTTCAACAAACTGTAGGGACTTTTTTTGCAAAAAGGGGCGACGGATGACAGAAACCCACCGTGCTTTATTATTAGGTAGAGATAGAGATTTTGACCATGATTTTAACGAATAAAATATAAGTTATATGTAGCAAAAATAATATCACTGGGAAGTATATTCAAATAAGAATCCAATAATATAATTTTTTGTGACATGCATTGTCATTTTGCTAGTAAAATATATGGTCAAATTTTAACTCAAACTACAATGAAATTAATAAAACAGGACAGAGGTAGTACCCTCTAGGGGCAAGCAAGAGATCACTTTTGGTACGCTGGAAGCACGCCAATTGATGTAGGCAGCTGCCGTCATGTGTCGTACGCTAGACTGTCCCTTGGGATTTTGGTTTTTTTTACATATAATTTTTTGGATCTGCCGTCATGTGCCAACACCCCCTGGATAGCCTCCTACAACCACGACAGTCCCGATGTTGTAGCATGACGTCTGTAGGAAGCTGTTTGTTGACTGTAGCAGATGTATTAGTGCGATGCTTAATTGCTTTGCTTATAGCCTGTAGCCTGTAGAGATGTAGGCATGCCGAAGATGTACTAGTGCAGTGCTTGTATCCTATAGCATGTCAGTTTGCTTATATCCTGAAGCTGTAGGCAGTAACAGATTGTACTAGTGCAATTCTTGCCCACATAGTCATGTTAGTGAAGTTCCTGTCAGTTTGCTTGGCATTTGGCAAAAAATAAGCCTTCTCTGCTACTGTGAAAAATTTCTGTGACTAGTTCAGTTATGCATTGTTAAAACTAGGTCAAAACATGTATTGATCAGTAACCTTTTGACTTAAAGGAAGTGGTCTGCAATAACATTGTCCGGTTTTGAGATCAATGCCATAAGCAAAAAGTCAGTATGAAAGGTTCCCCTGAACATCTACAAAATGAAGTGACTAGATCCGTTATGTGTTGAAACTTTCTGAGTTACATGGTCGAAGCAAATACTGTTCAGTAAAGCTTCTGAACTACGAGAAGTGGCTTGCGATGTCTTTGTTCAGTTTTGAGATCAGACATACTTGCTGCTTGTCCGTCTCTAGTCGCCGCTGCAGCCTGCAGCAGAATATTTCAGTTATACATGAGATAGAGGGGCGTGTTAGTGTAAAATTACATTGTTGCAAAATTAAGTTGTTGGTTTTAGTCGGAGGGTGGGCGTGTTAGTGTAAAATTACCACAAACTCTGATAAATTGTACGATTAAGATCGTGGGGATGAGAAGAAAGGGGATACATGGACACACAAATAGTTGGGATTCACGAGATATGTTGCCCACTTTCTCGTTCCGTTGTCACGCAAAGTAGCACTGCGGTAGTTTCCTTGTGGTAGGCTGCCGTTCGGGTGTTCCTTTTTCTCTTTGTTTTTTCTTGTTGTTTTTCTCTTTTTCGTTTTTTGTTTTTGAATTACGAAACCGCTTGTGTAGGTCATGGATACTTTTGAAATGTGGAAACGTTCCTCAAAACTTTAAACTTTCTTTAATTTGGCACATTGTTCCAATTCATGAACATCTTTTTAAAGATCATGAACATTTTTTGAAATATGGGAACAAGGTTTGAAATTAGAAACATTTTTAGAATTTTGTGATTTTGATATAATCAAGGAATAAGTTTTAAAATCTGAGAAAAAAATCATATATAATATTTTATCAAATTCATAAAGTTTTTTAATCTGTGAACAGTTTTAAAACTCATGAAAACTTTCTTGAAATACGAGAACATTTTCAAATATGTGACCATTTTTTTATATTTTGAATATTTTTTCACATTCACGAATTTTTTAAAAATCTGGAAAGAATTAAATCTGAGAACATTTTTTAGTCATCATGAGTAAATTTTGAAATTTGCAAACATTTTTTTGGAGTATGTAACTTTTTTCCAGATTTATGCTCACTTTTCTAGGATTTGAAATGTTTTTTCAAAATCATAAATATTTTTTAATCCAAAAACATATTTTCCTTAGGGAGCTCGCATTCAGATTATTTGGTTTGAATATAGAGAACTCGCATATGTTTGGAAGGTTGCATAAGCAATCTAGTTATTTCGGTACTACAAGTAAATCAGAGGGAGTAATACCGGTATGTTTTTTAAAAGACTATTATCGGTACTGCTACTACTAAATCAGCGATAAGTAATGTGGTTTGTAGGGAGCAATATTTATTTCAAACGGCGTTCAAATTGGTGGGCCAATAGGCAGTTTAGTAGTGTTTTTTTATGATGATACATGTCTTTTTATATCATGAAGAATATAATACAATTCAAGTAAATATTGACCTGACAAAACTGTAAAAATAGTAGAACGCTTGACTTTATAAAAGGAAACACTAGTCAAGAAAGAAAATTAGAATGAAGAATCTTTTGAGCTTGTCACCAACATTCGTCATCTAACTCCGGCATAACCAGAGCAGCATCAACGAATAAAAAAAACAAATCACCTTTTCACCCGAGCTCGACGCGGCTACATCGCTGATATGTCATCCACATGTTAGAACACGCCATGAAACTCCTCAAAATCTATGAAACACAAACCCAGAACATGATCCACCATCTTCTTCAAATTGGTGGGCCCATAAGTATTAATCTCGTTACTGGCCGTAGCAGTGCAGTGTTGGCAAAAAAGAGGAACCATCAGTCCAGTCTGAATACAGAAGAAAACCCTGCAAAAAAATATAACACAGAAGAAATACCAGGGAGGGAGGGAGGGAGCAAAGGAAAGGTGAATGAACCACTCGGGCGAAGGCTAGAACATCTCAAAACCCCACCACTAGTAAACAATTCAGCGGTCGTATTCGAAGCATTTCTTGCTCGCAATTCGCAAAGTTGCTGCGAATGCTCTCCGGTTACACTCGCACGCAAGATGTCCATAAAGTTGCATCCAAGTGGGCAAGCAAAAATCAACTCTTAATCAGATCGCAAAATTTGGGCATCAATCAATCAACCGCAATTCTTATCGCGTAAAGAATAGTAGTAGTGCTGGTGGTACAATCGGTCTTCTCTTGCACACATCATCTGTCTAATCTAATCAGGAGGAAAAAGAATAGAAGAAAAAATTAAAATCGCTAGCTTTGGCGCACAGCTCGTCCGGCGATCCGGGTCCGGTGGATCCGTCCTAGAAGAGCCGCAGCTCCGTGCACAGCTCGTCCGACGGCGGCGGGAGGTTGAGGTCGAACACGAAGGGCGCGCGCGGCCGGACGACGGCCGAGGCAGCCTCGTCGCCGGCGTCGTCCACGACGGAGGCCGAGGAGGCGCAGTTGCTCTGGCATCCTGCGTCGCCGCCTGGGAGCTTCGCCAGCAAGGGCGTCGGCGCTGGCGCGCGCGGCACGGCCCGAGGCGCGTTCGCCGCCCTGGGCCCGCTGTAGGACTCGACGGTGGAGCTGGCGCTGCAGGCGGGGCCGGGGGAAGCCGGTGGAGACGGACGCGGCAGCGCGGGGAGCGTGGGGAAGGAGACGAGGTCGTGGGGGAAGTTGGTGGTGGCGAGCGGGCCGCGGAGGGTGCGCGCGGCGACGTCGTAGGCGCGGGCGGCGGCCTCGGCGGAGTCGTAGGTGCCGAGCCAGACCCGCGCCCGCTTGGCCGGGTCCCGGATCTCCGCCGCGAACCGGCCCCACGGCCGCTTCCGCACGCCCCTGTACCGCGGCGCCACGCCCAGTCCCACAGCCGCCGCCGCGTCGCACACGGTGCTGCCGTTCCTCATAGTAGTAGAACGCCGGCCGGCAATCGCTTGAGCCAGCTCCCGCTGTTTCCTCGCCGAGACGCGGCTGGCTAGTGGCTATCACCGGAGGCCGAGGGTGCTGCCCCGAGCTGGTCAGGCCGGGCGTCTACCCTGCTCTGGGCTTGAGAAAGGCTTGACTTGTTGACTCTGCGCAGAGGGGGCTGCCGCTGTGTCGGAGCTAGGAGAAGGCGGCGCGGTGGGGTGGGCTGTGATGGTGTGAAGGGGCGGGGGAGGGGGGTAGAAGAAGGGGGAGGAGGCGCGTGCGGGTGCGTGGTGGGGTGGGAGGCGACGCGCGGGAGGGATAGCTCAGCCAGCGTTGGTGGGCGGCCGCTTCTTCCCACCTTCCGCACCCTTGGTCCTCACTCTCCCTCCCTCCCACACGAGACCGGTCTTCGCCGAGTTTACTTTGTTCTCCCGCGTCGGCAGCAGGGATAACACGTTTCCTTTGGCTTGTGCCGCCGCTACTACGCGTAGCTCGCTCGCCGGCTGTGGGTGCGCTGTCCGCGACGTGGAGCGCGCTCCGGCCGCACTAGATCGGATCGGATCGGCTCCACAGGGGCGGCAGACTGCGCGCCGAGATTCGGTGGCGTTCAAATCGAACCGCCCCGCCCCGCCCAGCGGCGCAGCGTGGGGAGTACGTGACGCTGGGTAGGGGGTAGGGTTGGGTTGGGTTGGGTTGGATCGGATCGTATCCTCCGTGCGCCGTGCTGCGGCTGGCACGCAGACGCGGCCTCACTGTCACGGGCGACGCCTGACGGAATTGAAGTGTATTCTTTTTTTGCGGGTGGAATTGAAGTGTATTCGGCGGTGGAAATTACGGGCGTCTGGCGGAATTCATTATTGCCACAGTAGTAGTAAATTACTGTAATCCCAGCCGTCTGCGTTTTGTTCGGGGTGGTGTCGGTTCATCATTTACTATCGTGAATGAATTACGCGGGTGGGGTTGTGGCCTAGAGGCTCTGTTCCTTGTTCCACTGTGGCGGGCACGGAAGATTCAAATCAAACGGTACTCCCGCTGGGATATGAACGTACCGCTTTGCATGATTCCGGGCAAAGAGAGGGCTTCGCTTTACATGATGAATTAGCCGTATGGGTACATATTTCGAGTTCCAAGACCCAGGATGTGTACAATTCAGCCAGAGCAAATAATTTGGGATTTGTCGATCAAACTTGGGAAGGCCTTGGGTCATGTTCGGTTGTAGGCTGAAATCGCCATAAACAAAGTTTAAATATTTCTCTAACAAAAAAACTAAGTTTAGATGTATTAAACTGATAAATGTCTTACATTTAGGAACAAAATGTGACTACAATACATACTGCTGTAGACAGGGGCGGAGCCAGGATTTGGG